AAAAGCGCCTCGATGCGCGCGTCCTTGGCGGCGTCGCCGGACGGAGCGCCGGGAAGCGACATGCGCGCCGCCAACTTGCGCTCGAGTCGCGCGATTTTCGACAGCGCCGCATGTAGCTTCTCTTGCACGAGCGGCAGCGGGTCGTCAAAGGTAAAACCGCGCTGCTTTGCTGGCGACACGGGGTGCGGTGCCGCGGGTTCCTCGGTGGCGGCGGCGGTGCCACCCCGCAGTATCAACGCGCCAAGCTCATCCAGACGCGCCTGGAGCGCCTCGACGGAGGCCGCAGGCGGCGCCTCCGGCGATGGCGGCGAGCGTGTGGTGTTCGGGGCGCGTGCCGCTGGTGCGCGTGCCGGCCCGGTGGGCGTCGAGGGCGCCGGGGTCGGCTGCTGCAGCTCGGCGACCTTGGCGCGCAGGGCGCCCATCTCGGCGCGATAGCGCACGAGCAGCGACTGTGTCTCGGCGCTCGGTGTGCCGACGAGCAGAGACAGGTCGCCGTCAAACTCGTTCGGCTCGGCGCGCACCGCGACCTTTTTGATACGGCGCGCAAAGTTGAGTGTGCCGAGCGACTCTTCGACCATGTCGGGGTTGGGGTTGAGCGTACACACCACCGCGATGCGTGCGTTGCCGTTCAGGCTGTTTTGCAGGATCCGCGTGAGCTTGGAGTCGCGAAACGGCACGTGGATCGCGTGCGAACGCGGGGCGCGCTCGTGGCGCTCGGCGGCGCTGCGTTCGGACAGCGCATAGATCACCTTGCCGAGCGAGAGCAGGCTCTTGTTGATGTTGGCACCCTCGGTGCGCCGGCTTGCACCCCATGTGTGCCGCTCGCTGCCCGCGAGGTCGATGAGCGACAGCTCGCTGATGCGGTAGTGCCGCCCAACGTGCTCGGTGTCGGTCACCGACGTGCGTTCCCACGACTCCACGGTCACCTTGAAACACGTGTGACTGCGCGAGGAACGCTCGTTCCAGTCGGTCGCGCCGACGTGTCGGTTTGCCTCGCCGCGCGCAAGCAGCGCAAACACCTGGCTCGGCGAGGTGACCACCTCTTCCTGGAGCGGCGCAACAAACACGGCGTTGGCGCCGCGCCGCCGGTCGTCGCGCACCTGCGGCTGGCTGCTGGGGTCAAGCAGGTCGCGCACAATCTCGTTCCAGATCTCCAAATAGCTCACGCGCACAAGGTACTCGCGCTCTGCGGAGCCCTGGCAGATGCCCTGGAACACGTCACAGACAGCGCGCGGGATGATGCCGGGCTCCGTGCCGTGCTCGCCGCCGCTCAGCGTAAATGTCTTGCCGCTCGCCGTTTGGCCGTAGGCAAACACCACGGCATTGTAGCCACGCAGCACGCTCCTGACCAGGGGCCGCGCCATCGCCGTGTACACGTCCGCATTCGAGCTGCCCGTGTGCACGCCGTCAAACTGATACGGCACGCCCACATTCGGCTGCACCTTTTGCGCGGCGATCGCTGGGTCCAGCATGACTGTCGCTGTGTCGGGCGTGGTAATCCACGCACATGCTTCGTCCTCGTATGTCGGGCGTAGACTGGATTAGTGGGTGTAGACGTACCGTACGTGCACGAGAACCGAGTCGCTCCCGTCGGCGCCCGCGTCGACGTCATCGTCGTCCAGCAGGAAAGACGACTCGCCAAGCTCCTCGGCAACGGCATCCACATCGACCCGCTCCGCCGCCTGCGGCAGGGCACGCGGCGCAAGTGCCGCCGCGGGTGCCGCGCGCGTGGGCGACACAGTACCTAGCGCCGTCGGCGCACGGCTGGGGCCAGCGGCCGGCGGAGCAAACGGCGCCTCTCGCTTGGTCCGCCGCGGCACGCCATCGGTGATCTTGGCGCGCAGTGGCCGCGGCGCCGCAGACAGCGGCGCGCTGCGCTCGGGGGAGGCCGTGCGCACCCGCGGCGCTTCACTGCGCTCGCCCGACACAATGCGCACCGGCGACCGCGCGACGGTCGCCATCGACGTGCCGGGCCGCGGCGGCGCAGTGCCAAGCGCCGACCGCGTCGGCGACATGGCCGTCGCAGGCCGTGGCCCTGCAGGCCGCACGGTCCGCCGCGCAGGACTCGTGCCCGAGGACGAGGGCGTCGCGGCCGGCGCCGTGCCGGAAAAGACGTCGAGCGCCCCTGTGCGCGGCGTGGACTCGTGCCGCGGCGGTGATGCAATGCGCACGATTCCTGCTGCGGCGCGCGCTGATGGCCCCGGCGTCGCAGCGGTCCGTGTGGGCCCCGGCGTCTTGGAGCGCGTCAGGAGCGTCGTGCGGTCGTCGCTCAGCGTGCGGGGGCTGGGGGACCGCACATAGCCCGGCGCCATCGATTTGCCTGGGCTTTCTGCGCGCGTAAATGGCGTGTGCTCGCCAGGCTTGGCCGTCGCGGCCAACGGCGTGCGCTCGGCGGTCCGGCGCGACGCAGCTCTGGCTGCATCGGCGCGCGCCTGGGTCATTCGTGAGGGCGGGGGCGCCGGTGGCGCATGTACCTCTTCGGTCTCATCCTCCTGCTCCTCCATCGCGGCCACCGGCTTGGATAGCACAGGGGAGCGCAAATTGCGCGCGCGCGCGCCGTCGTTGGTGAGCGCCGTTTCGCGAAGCGGCACGCGCAGTTTCTGCGGTGTGCCCTTGGCCCGTTTGCGCGGCGACGGCATAAATGGCGCACGCGGCGTCGCAGGACGTGTGCCCGGCGTCGTGTCGAGCAGCGGTACAAAGCCCGCGGGCCGCTCGCGACTGCCCGTCGCGGCCGCACTGTCCATGCCGACCGTGTGTGTTGTGTGGAGCACGCGACGAGCGACACGCGAAGGTCACGTGCAGTGATCGGTGCGAGGGCGCGTACGCACCGGCCGCGTTGGCGACATCCACCGTGGCGGCGATGAGTGCGGCCGATACGCTGGACAGCTTGCCGCAGGAGATCCGCGATGCGCCTACGCAGGAGGTGCAGATGCGGACACGTCTGCTGGAGAATGAGCTGAAGGTGATGAAGTCGGAGCATATGCGGCTGCTGCACGAGCAGAACGTAATGAAGGAGCGCATCAAGGACAATGCGGACAAGATCTCGCAGAACAAGGTGCTGCCGTACCTCGTCGGCAATGTGGTTGAAATTCTCGACATTGACCCTGACATCGACGAGGACTCCGAGGAGGGCGCCGCCGCCGACGCCCCGCGCCACGGCAAGTGTGCTGTCATCAAGACGTCCACGCGGCAGACCATCTTTTTGCCGCTCATTGGGCTGGTCCCGAGCGAGGAGCTGCGTCCGGGCGACCTGATTGGTGTCAACAAGGACAGCTACCTCGTCCTCGACAAGCTCCCCGCAGAATACGACTCGCGCGTCAAGGCCATGGAGGTCGACGAGCGGCCCACCGAGACCTACACGGACATTGGCGGGCTCGACAAGCAGATCGAGGAGCTCGTCGAGGCCATCGTGCTCCCAATGCAGCAGGAGCAAAAGTTCAAGAACCTCGGGATCAAGCCGCCCAAGGGCGCGCTAATGTACGGCCCGCCCGGCACCGGTAAGACGCTGCTGGCACGCGCCTGTGCTGCGCAGACAAATGCGTGCTACCTCAAGCTGGCCGGTCCATCGCTGGTGCAGATGTTCATTGGTGATGGCGCCAAACTCGTGCGCGACGCGTTTGAGCTGGCGAAGGAAAAGGCGCCAGCAATCATCTTTATTGACGAGTTGGATGCGATCGGCACCAAACGCTTCGACTCGGACAAGTCGGGTGACCGTGAGGTGCAGCGCACCATGCTTGAGCTGCTGAACCAGCTCGATGGCTTCTCGAGCGACGAGCGGATCAAGGTCATTGCGGCGACAAACCGCATCGATATCCTGGACCCAGCGCTGCTGCGCTCCGGCCGTCTCGACCGTAAGATTGAATTCCCGCTGCCGAACGAAGAGGCGCGCGCGCGAATCATGGAGATCCACTCGCGCAAGATGGCCGTCGGCCCGGACGTCAACTTTGAGGAGCTTGCGCGCTCTACCGACGAGATGAACGGCGCGCAGCTCAAGGCGGTCTGTGTGGAGGCCGGCATGATTGCCCTGCGTGAAGGCGCCACGGAGCTCGACCACGAGCACTTCCTAGGCGGCATCCTCGAGGTCCAGGCGCTGAAAAAGTCGGACCACTTCTACTATGCATAGACTGTACAAAGGCTGCGTATGCGTGCACTCTCTATATGTTCTCGCGTTGAGCGATCATCAGCAGCACGGTTGCCATGATCATCACACCAATCACGCACGACAAGATCGTGACGAGGGGGTGCGAGTGGCCCTCGCACTCGTCGAGGTACGTGTGCTCGGCTTCGAGCTGCCGCACGCACGCAAAGTAGTCCTGCGTAGACACAATGTATGAAAGAAAGGCCGCAATCAGGTAGATCACGCCAAGCGCCAACTCCGCGTGCCCCATCTTGTCGTCGTGGGCATCCCAAGGCCGCACGGCCGGTGCGCTCAGCACATACGGCGCCTGGTGTGCGATCGGGGAAGGCAGCGGCACAGGCGGCTCGTGCGGAAGCAGTGCACGCATCGCCTTCACAAGCGTTTCCTGCTGGTCATCCTCGTCCTGGAGTCGCAAATCGAGAAACATGGTGCACGACAAGATCGTCATATAGGTATAAAATTTGGACCACGCCATGTACGTTCGCTCGCGCACTGCGTCAGTCACATCACCTACTGCAAAAGTCCCGCGCAGCCTCAGACGGCACCTCGGGAGACTTGAGCCCGAACCAATGTGCTCGGTTGAACCACGAACGCGGCGCGGGTGGCCCTTCCTCGGCTTCACCCAGCTCGTCATCCTGGAGCTGCGCTTGGCGAATCGACGCGCGTCGCCTATCTGCGTGCGTGATCCGGTCTTCTAATGACAGCCAGGGTCGATTTGTGCCCTCCGCCGCTGCATCCTGCTCCAGATCGGCACGCGTCGCCATGACCAGCAACAGAAGCGCGTGGAGGCGTGTCAGGGTGGAGCCTGTAGGACCGCAAAGGAACAAGTACGCAAAAAGCACCCACCACGTCAGCTTCGGAACCAGCCATAGCTCAGTTGGAAGAGCGAAGGTTTGTAATTAGGTTACCAGATCCTCGGATCACCTTAGGTCCCGTGTTCGAATCACGGTGGCTGGATACTTTTTTCCGTCGGCCATACGCAATGAACCTGGAAGGCTTATTCCTGCCTGGCTATATCGCGCGATGTGGAGGCATTTGCCGTTCGCACCAGCCATAGCTCAGTTGGAAGAGCGAAGGTTTGTAATTCGGTTACCGGTCTTGGGCCACCTTAGGTCCCGTGTTCGAATCACGGTGGCTGGATTCTGTTTTGGGTGCTAGCTTTTTTTTTACTCACGCAGAAATTGGGCATTTGTGGGGAAATCGGGTCCGGGCTCGTCCTGAGAATTGCAGAATTGGTCCTATTTTGACTACGAGGCGCCATAGGTTCCTTCTCGGAATAGATCACTTGGGTAGTAATGCGCACGTAAGATCTGACCATGGAGTAGATGTCTGTGTGAGCACACGCCTGTGACGTACTGATCCAATGCACGGACGCTTCGATAAGCACCGGCCATCCCCGTAAACTCGACAAGGACACGTACGAGGCCAGGCATCGGATGGAGGATCGCACGGTGGACATAGCCATGCTCAGCGCATAGATCGCCTGTGTGAGCACATACAACCTACCAACATCTTGCTGCAAGCCCTGCGCCGCGCCCGAGTCGCTGTCCAGAGCAAGGTCGAACGCAACGATCTCGCTCGGCTCGCCATACATCTCTCGGGCTATCGCTGTCTCGTCTCGGTCGCGATTCACAATCACGCCACGTGCCGTACCACGCTTGGCCACACGCGCCTCCAAAGGGCGCACCATCCCCTTGTTTCCTTCAGCCCCAATCCCTTCGCCCTTCTTGTACCCATACCGCTCCATGAGGCGCTCCGCAAACCGCGCAGGGTCCGGCCGATGCGACGGATCGACGGACGACGAAGGGCGGGGCTCTGGCTTCGACGCGGGGGCAAACTTGGCCGCAATCGCCGCAACCTCTCTACGCTTTTCCTCGACCGTGCTGTTGGAACGAGGCGGGCGGGGCGTTGACTCGGTCGACGCTGCACGTACGTCCTGGTTGGGCCGCGCCGGTGGTCGACCTGGCGGAGGGCGCGGGAGTGGACCCGGGGGCCGCTGGGGTGGGGGCCCAGGCGGTAAGCAAGGCCGCACCGAGGGCGGACCTGGCGGGGGTCCCGGCGGGGTCCCAGGCTGGGGCCCAGGGGAGTGCCGCACGGCTTGCCCGGTGCTCAAACCGATGTGTGCGGGGTCCGCATCGACCGCTTCCTGGGCCGCGTGAGCCGGCACAGTGGGGGCATAAGACGACGGCGGGGCGAATTTGCGGAAACGGTGTGCTTGTCCACGATCTTCATCATCATCTTCGCCTTCCCACCCATTCGCATCCGCATGACGATGGCGGCGCTCGTTCATGAACGCCCTGAACTGGGTATAATCGTTCGGCACAGCGGGGTCATAGTCTGCATTCATACTGCGCACCAAAGCCGAGGCCGATGTCGACTGCGCCTTCCGTGGTTTCTGGATGAGCAAAGTGACCTACTTTGCGTGGATGGTGCGTGCGGGGTTCGTCCATCTCGTCCGTGTCCAGCGACTCGGGATCAAGCTCACCGTACGCCTCGGCTACCGCACGTGCACGTGCACGGTCTCTCTCCAGCTCGGAATCGGGAAGACGCAGCGGTGGTGGGGTACAGGACGGTTGCTGTGCCGCCTGGGTGGCGGGCGCCTCCGCGGAGGCGGGGTGGGTGGATGCGGACGCGCGTGCCTCTTGTGTTGCTGCCCCGCGCGTGACCGAAGGCAGGAGGTGGATGGCGCTTTTGGTAGTACGCGCACGTTCTGTCCGTTTCCTTGGCACGAATTGGAGTGCGGGGGACCAGGCTGAGGGAGGGTCCGCCCGGGCGCGCACAGGCCCAGTGTCGTGGCGAGTTGGCGGGGAGGCAACGGGATTGACCTCATCGCCGGTGGGGTGCGGCGCAGCCGCATGCGGCTGCGACTGAGCCTCACCACTCGCCTGCTTTATCTCCTCTGCTGGGCCAAAGATGCCGGCGTACAGCGACGACGCATTGCGCGCCGCGCGCTCGGCCATGGGCGTGCGTCGATGTGGAGTGGCGCGTTTCCACCTCCACCGACGACGGCGGATGGAAACGCTGCAGGCGGAGCTCGGGGGCGTGCTGGGGGCATTGCGCACGCATGCCCAGTCGCTCTTTGACGAGCTTGCGCGCAATGCTGCACTAGATCAGCACGGTGCTGATGAGACGGATGCAATTGACGAGCACCTCGCGGCGCTCGCCTCGTTGGAGGCATCACTTCCCAAGACCCTGGGGCTGGCTGCTGCGCACCAAGCCAACCAGGCACGACTTGACCCGCTACTCCAACGCATAAGAGAGCGCGATACCCTGCAGCGGAACAGCATTGCGCAGATTGCATCGCTCCGCTCCGAACTGCAAGCTCTTTTGGACGCCGCGGATGCTGAGCGCGACGAGATGCAGCGCGCCGAAGACGGTACGTGGGCCACACGATGCTGACTTTTAGACCCTCTGTCGCCTGCTGCCGTTCTTGCGTATGCGCAGCGCTTGGCGCGGTACACTTCGGCGCCGCCCGGCTACCGTTTGCAGCCTGACCCTCAGGCGCCCAAGGGCGACGACCGCGCACAGCGCCTTGCGCCTGACTATAACCCTGATGCGACGCGTGCTGCTGGCTACTACGACCCTGCGATCCCTACGATGCCGCAAGAGCTGCCGTTCCCTTCGGACCGGTTGATGCGGCAGGGCATTTTGTATGCGGACGCGGCGGGCGGCGTGCTCCAGCCCGAGCCGAGCGGAGTTCCGCCGGAGGCTGCGGCGACTGCCGCAGGCGGGATGGAGGTCGAGCCGCCTGCGCCCGCGCCAGCGGCGCTCGATTCGTATGCGATGGACGACGACGACGCGTTTGATTTGGACTTGAATCCGTAGCGGCCGAAATGTGGAGTGGGTCCCCTGTCGTCTGTCCCTCCCGTCGATCCCCAACGCACCAGCCACTGTGTGGCTAGAGTGCATGTGGAGGCATGAACATGGACCTAAAAGGCCCGATGTCATGCACGTGTATGCACCACCCTGCAGGGCCTGCTCGCGTTGGCGGCGCAGCTCGCATCCACGCATCGTGCGGTGTCAGCGCTGACGGTGCGGCCACACCCCACTTTGGCGACGCGGCTACGATGGACGCGCATGGCCCTCCCTGGCGAGCGGCTGCCGATCCTGTCGCTGCGCCCCCCCTCGATATCGGGGCCGACGGGTTCGGCTTGGCTGCGATGGCGTCCCCGCCGCAAAGTCCACCCAGTCTTGGCACCCCTCAGCGGGCGACACAGACACAGGCGATGCCAAGCCTGACCGCTACCTCGCCATACGACTACTCCTACAGTTCGCCTGCCTCGCCACGCACCTACGATCGGTCCGGCCAGGTCGGGATCGGGGAGCTCGCCACGCCCCGGTGGTCGGCGCAGCTCGGTGAGCGCTTCCCTACAAGTATACAGGGAACGTCGATTGCCTCGCCGAGCCGCGCCCCATCGTACATACCCACCGAGCTGTCGAGCAGCCCACTCACACAGCAGCAGCAGGCTGCCGCGCGCCACGCACGCGCCATCTCGTATTCGGTCGCGCCTGCGCTGCCGCCGCGCAGCGAGCCACGAGCGTCGCTTCAGGCGTTTGCATCCATGCAGCACATGAGCGAGACACCTGCGTCGCCACCGAGCATGTCCTACACTCGCGGATCGCCCGAGCGCTCGGTGGGTGCATCGGGCGCGTCGACCAGCGCATCGCCCGCGGCCTCGCCGCCCGCCCGCTCGCCTAATGTGTCTTCTGGGGCGACGCCGCAGCGGCGCTCGCAGCGGATCTCTTCCTCCTCGTTTCTGCCAAACTTTTTGCGGCGCGAGCACAACGACTCGTCGCACACACACACGCAATCAGCCACGCCGTCCGGTGCACACGGCTCACGCAAGTTCCTCGGACTGAGTTCCACCGACGTTCTCCGCAAACTCGATGGGCTGAGTGTGTCGCCGCGCGGTGCGCCGCTCGGCGACAAGGAAGAGGCAGACCAGAGCACGCGGTCACTGCCCGCGCGCATGCTGTTTGGCACATCGCACGAGCCGCGCCCCAATGGCCACGCCGCGCCCGACCTTTTCCTCGGCCGTGAAGCGCGCGCCAGCGGCACGTCGGCTACGCTGCCGTCGGCGCGTGCGTCGATCGCGACGCTCGACGCACCGTCGTCGCTGGCCTCGACGCCTATCGCCCCCACGTCGGTCACGACGTCGGCCACACGTGCGCAAGTGACGCCGCCGCCTGCCTCGGATGCGGCGGCACATGGTATGCCCTCGACGTCGACCTCCTCACCACACTCGACCGCGCAGGTGCCGCCGATGTCGGGCATGTCCAGTGCGCCGAGTACCCTCACACTGCACGACGGACACTCGGGCATGGAGCACATGGCCACCGAGGCGTCGGACGCGTCGCACGGGCATGCGCCGTATGCCGCGCCGGCCTTGACTCCGTCGACCGGTGCGAGCGAGACGCGCCCCGACTCGGCCGTCCCGCTGACGGCCGTCGGTGCGCCCGCGGCGCCTGTGCTGCTGCCCGCGAGCGAGCTGGGCGTGATGCCGAGTGCGGCGCCGGCCGTGGCCGCGGAGCCAGCGCCGGCGCCGGCGCCCGGTGCGACGCCCAAGCAGACGAACCGGCGGAGCCAGCGTGCGTCGATGCAGGTACCTACCGGGGACGACGAGGAGCCGCAGGGCAGCCTCGCAGGCCGCCTGTCGCGGCGCTCGCTCGTGGCGCTCGGCTCGCTGTTCAAGTCGAGTCCGCGGCGCACCGACGACGCGGCGAGCGGCGATGCACCCGCACAGCTCAAGTCGCGCTCGCGCCTGTCGTTCCGGCGGCGACGGCAGAGTATGACGACGCAAAGCACACCGACCGCGTCGGCTCCCGAGGCGTCGGCACCCGCGCCCAGTGCGCGGACCGACGAGGCCCCCGCGCCCGAGGCCCCCGCGCCCGAGGCGCCGCCGGCGGCGCCGCCGACAGCGGCTCCGGCCGGCGCTACGGCGCCTGTCGGCTCGCCG